TAGTGAGCACATTTTTTTTTTTTTTGATCCTCAAAAAAAAAAAATCCAATTTGCACCCCCCCCCCCTTGAGCGCCAGGGGGGGGGGGGGGCCCAACCCCCAAAAATCGTAAAAATCACGTGATTTTACATGATTTTTTTCTCAAGGGGGGGGGGCCCGGGCCCCCCGGGCCCCCCCCTGGATCCGCCACTGCCGCCCCTTCACCCCCGCCGGGGCTTTGCCCCTAGACCCATCACCAATTTAAGCTACGTTCTACCTGATCGTAAATACTGATCGTAAAAAGACCCCCGACCACTTTGAAAAACGTTTAGCGGGGCCGCATGTAGGAGCCCGGATTTTTGTCTGCCCTCCAAACGTTTTTGCTCATTACACCACTGCTGGTCACCATTACGTTCCAATATTTGGCTCGCATAATTCCAAATTTTGGCCCCCCCCCCCCCCCCCCCCCCCCCCTTCTAAGAAATCCTGGATTCGCGCCTGGGCTGATCTATCATGTCCCTAATCCTCAGCAAAGGAAGGAAACGACAGAGAGTGGAATTGTTACCGTAAAGCATTATGCGAACGGTGGCGTCCCCTGTACTATTATGTCTTTTTAAAAATATATTTTTCTATTTAGCTTATAATATTATATGGAGACATCTTAATGATCTAGCTAATATTCTCCCGCTCCAGTGATGAAAATCTTGCCCCCCCCCCTCCTTCGACTGAGAGTCAAACTTGTGAAAAAATTGATTTGGTGACAAGACGATATATTTTACAAGAAAACCACTTCAGCCCCCCCCCCCGAAAATAAATATAATTGTCCGACATCTGAATGTCCGAGTCGTCGGTTTAATGGGGCTGGTGTTGGTTTGTTTGAGATTTAATAGCCTTTAGATAGTTTCATCAATGAGATATATATTGATTCAAATCAGACTTAGTGATGTTATCGAGCATCTTACCAGTATTAAATTTCCATTTTCCTAAATAAACCTGTGAAACCTCGGTATTTCGATACACAAAAGAAGTTCACTAAATTTGGCGCATGGTTTAATAGCAGGTTTGTTTGAGACTATAAAGCCTGTAGATGGTTTCATTAATGATTATATCGAATCAAATCATATACTGACCGCCAAGGGTGTCGATTTGTATCCGTGGTTGGGGGGGATGATAGGTGCCAAAATATTTTCGGCAATGGATCAAAGCAATCAAGAGGTAGAAGCGTGTGGCAAGTTGCACCCCTCCCAAGCGCGTAGCCAGGATTTCATTTTAGGGGGCGGTAGTGAGCACGCGAAGCGCGGTCCCTAGGGGGTTGCGTGCGGGGAGGGGGAGTTCCCCCCCCCCCCCGTGAAGCGCGAAAGCTTTGACGTTTCACTAAATTATTAGAGAAAGAAGACGATTCGTTGGTCCGTTCTCGACTCTTAATCCTTGTTTGAATCAAGTTCCCTTTCCTCCGCGCATAGCGCGGAAGCTCTGACTTTACATCAGATTATTAAAGAAAGAAGACGATTTGATGTACCATTCTCGACTCTTAATCCTTAATGTTTGAATCAAGTTTCCCTTCCCCTTCTGACGTTTCATTAGATTATTAAAGAAAGAAGACGATCCTATGTACCATTCTCGTCTCTTAATCCTTGTCTGAATTCATTTTCGCCCATTCCTGCGCGAAGCGCGGAAGCTTTCACATTAGAGAAAGAAGACGATTTGTTGTATCGTGTCCTTCATGAATTCAGTTTCTCCCCTTTGACGTTTCACTTAATTATAAGAGAAAGAAGACGATTCGTTGGACCATTCTCAACTCTTAATCCTTGTTTGAATCAAGTTCCCCTTCCCAGCGCGTAGCGCGGAAGCTCTGATGTTTCATTAGATGATTAAAGAAAGAAGACGATCCTATGTACCATTCTCGACTCTTAATCCTTGTCTGAATTCATTTTCGCCCATTCCTGCGCGAAGACGATTTGTTGTATCGTGTCCTTCATGAACTCAGTTTCAATAAATTATTACTCTTAATCCTTGTCTGTATTCATTTTCGCCCATTCCGCGCTTAGCGCGGAAGCTTTCACGTTTCATTAAATTATTCGTAAAAGAAGACGCTTCGTTGTATCGTGTACTTTGACGTTTCATTTGATTATTACGCTTAATCCACGTCTGAATTCAGTTGCCCCCTAAAAGCTTTGCCCTTTTCACTGAATTATTAGAGAAAGAAGACGATTCGTTGCACTAGCTGTTCTCTATATTAATCCTTGTCTGAATTCAGTTTCCCCACTGAAAGTAATTTGTGTTACAAATAAGTTGTCACATAATAATCTTTCTCCAAAAATGAAAAATCTTTTAGGAAATATCAGGAAATAAAATGAGTGAAAAAAACAAAAATAAAGATACAATGACGTGAATTTTAAAAAGGGTGAACGGAAACAACATAACAACTAAAGAACTATTTTATAATTCATAATAATGTCCGAAAATCTTTCTCCTTGTCTCCGATCTCATCACGAAATCGTCACAGAGTTCATCTATGTTTACACTGTCCAGGAAGATTGTCTGATGTGCATTGCAGATTGCTATTTTTGCGTTTCGCGCTTAACATTTAGCTCGTTGCTTTTTGACGCTGCGTCTTTGCATTTGGCGCACTGCATTTCTATGATGCTGTTGATTGAACAAATTGAATAAATTCATCAATTCCTGATGAAGCCGTATGAGCGAGAATTCAATTTATTCTTGTCTCATATACGGTTGTCTCATTTACTTCGTATATATGTATGTATTATGAAAATGAGATAGCAAAATGTGCATATTGATGGTCATCTTGCGAGTAATAACCATTAACTACTCTCATCGGGCTCTCATCCTTAATTTTTCTCTTAATTTTTTTTTTTTTTTTTTGATAGTGAATTATTGGGGGGGGGGATGATTGTACAGGCCACCCCCCCACCTGAAATATTGGGGGGGGGGGGGATATATCCCCCCCCATCCCCCCGGGATCGACACCCATGCTGACCGCTTTTATTGAACATTATAGTATCAAATTCCCATTTTCCTAAATAAACCCGGGAAACCTCGGTCTTTCGATACACAAAAGAAGATTACTAAATTTGGCGCATGGTTTAATGGAGTTGGCACTCGGTTTAATGGTGTTGGTTTGTTTGAGACTAATATAGCCTTTAGATGGATTCATTAATGAGATATATATCTAATCAAATCAGACTTAGTGATGTTATCGAGCATCTTACCAGTATCAAATTTCCAATTCCCTAAATAAACCCGGGAAACCTCGGTCTTTCGATACACAAAAGAAGATTACACAATTTGGCGCATGGTTTAATGGTGTTGGCACTCGGTTTAATGGTGCAGGTTTGTTTGAGACTATAATAGCCTTTAGATGGTTTCATTAATGAGATATATATCTGATCAAATCATATACTGAGTTATGTAATCGAACATTATAGTATCAAATTTCCATTTTCCTAAATAAACCCGGGGACCTCGGTCTTTCGATACACAAAAGAAGTTTACTAAATTTGGCACAGGTTGATTGGTGTTGGCACTCGGTTTAATGGTGAAGGTTTGTTTGAGACTGGAATCCCTTTGCATGGTTTTATTAATTAGATTATCTCTGATCAAATTATATACCTTGTGATGTAATTGAGCATCTTACCAGTATTAAATTTCCATTTTCCTAAATAAACCCGGGAAACCTCGGTCTTTCGATATACAAAAAAAGATTACTAAATTTGGCGCATGGTTTAATGGTGTTGGCACTCGGTTTAATGGTGATGGTTTGTTTGAGACTAGAATGCCTTTGCGTGGTTTCATTAATGAGATATATTTCGGATCAAATCATATACAAAGTGATGTAATCGAACATTATAGTATTACAATTTTCATGTTGCTAAATAAACCAGTGAAACCTCGGTCTTTCGACACACAAAAGAAGATTACTAAATTTGGCACATGGTTTAATGGTGTTGGCACTCGGTTTAATGGTGCAGGTTTGCTTGAGACTATAATAGCCTTTAGATGGTTTCATTAATGAGATAGATATCTGATCAAATCATATACTGAGTGATGTACTCCGACATTATAGTATTACAATTTTCATTTTGCTAAATAAACCAGTGAAACCTCGGTATTTCGATATCCAAAAGAAGATCACTAAATTTGGGGGCATGGTTTAATGCTGCTGGCACTCGGTTTAATGGTGAAAATATGTTTGAGACTTACAGCCTTTAGATGGTTTCATTAATGAGATATATATCGAATCAAATCATATCGAGCAACTTACCAGTATTAAAATACATGAAACGCCTATTATTTTACTAAATATTGTGGCTGTCAACTATTTAAGCAACATGCAAGTAATATTTTGTAGGTGGGTTTAGGTAGGCCTAGGTAGGTAGGAACTGCATTGAACTGCTGGGTGCACATGTTTTCTTTTCTTCAGTTTTCTTTTTTCTACAAATCATCTTTTTGAAAGTTCCTTAGTATGAAGCCACGAAAGAGTAAACTATTATGAAAAAAAATACCTATTTGTTATTACAAAACTAGCTAGATTAGGGAGTGTAGTTGCTTTCAATTCTCTGTTCGTACTTGGCTTCACGGAGTAATTCGTCCTTTATAGCGATTCTCTTCATTCGGAGCAACGTACATGTACTAATACTTACAAACGTAGTCGTACTAGTACATGTGTATATGACACACTACGCACGCCGCACGTCAGTGACGTAGGGACTAATGAATATTCATGACTCCACTAAAGCTCGTGCCAATATATGCTACCATTCGAGCAACACCTTTATTGCTCGTTTCCGTAGTTAGACTTAGTACCGGTCACTGGTTCAGATAATTACAGTTCGAGTAGAAAAGAAAGAAATAAACAAAAGAAAACACGCCAACAGTTCAAAAAAATAAAATAAAACAATAGCTTTTTTTTACTCAATTGATTGAAGCATCATTCATCTAATGCACGTAATTGTACACATTTATAATTTAATTATGTTCTGCAAAGTTAGTAATATAAGTAAACGACTTGTTAGAGAAAACGCCCTATTTCTCTCGTGAGCAACATGGCGGACAACGGTAGGGAACCTCCTCCCCTTTTTGAAGACGACGAGAAGAGTGGAGATAAAGCAGATCTAGTAGAGGAAACACTGAAGGTAGGATAGTTAATTGTAGGCCATGATTTTTTATTTTACTTGAGAGAGTGAGAGCGAATCGTTATGAGGGATTTATAGATCTATAAATTAACCGTGTTCGAAATAAAAATGTGTAACTTTCAAGTTTCAATTTCAATAGACTACCAGTGCAGTGCCAGCGCCAGTGCAGTGACAGTGCAGTGTGAGGTGTGTTGTGAATGTGATTGTTTTGCTGTTCACTGATCACACAACAGAGTCTTACTCTAATTTTATTTTAGCTACGAGGAAGCAAGGTTGCACAGACGGTAAAACTAGGTCTAGGTCTAGTCTAGGTCTATTCCCATTTCGCACAGAGTAGCGCGCCCAGTATTCGGTCCATTCCCGGAATTCGGTCAGACAGCCGTTTCAACAGCTGTAACAATTTTTAAAAAAATTAATGAGCCGCGAAACTTGCACAAATCAGGCAGCTGAACAACTTTTCTTAACTCTCAAAATTAAATCAGATAGATCTATAGCTCGAAATTGGTCAGTGTGGCACAACTTTCTGCATTTCCGTATTCTGTTAGCACATGCGCTAAGTACATAGTAGGGTGTCTGATCGCGCACCCGATGTTGTGTGCTAAAATTCTTCCCATAGAGATTACACGCATCCCTATGCAGTCTACGTGCATTGCGCGACCATGCAAAAAAAGTCAATTTTTTTTTTTCAATTCGAGATTCAAACCTTTATCTGTTGTGATCCTGAAGGTGATAATCAATAAATGAGGTGTCATATGAAAGAGCAGGTAAATTCCAATATTTCTAAAGGGGCGTAGCCCCCGAAATTCTAAAAATATCTTGGTCAAAACAGCAATTGAAACATTGTGTCCTGGCTAACTCTGAGGTTTGTCACTTTTGAGATATGACGCCCCGATCGATAAGTAGTCCCAGTCCTAAGGAACAATTCTATGTGCTTATATTTTCGCTAGCCCCCAGGGATCACAACTGATAACAGTTTAAAAATACCCTTCTCGCTATTTGGTGGATCAGCTAATTAGGGGGCGTGCGCTCCGCTCAGTCCAAACCATGGTTACATCGCGTAACATCTCCGCGCACGAACGAAACCCCAAATTCAAGTATGGGTGGCCATTCGCGGCATAGAACCCGGAAGTGAATACACGTTATAGTCAATGGCAATATCGCGGAGACATCTCCGCGATATTGCCATTGACTATAACGTGCATTCACTTCCGGGTTTATTGTGCGACGAACGCCAACCATACTAGTCAATGGCACATGTCGCGGAGACAGCGTAGCTCAAGCTGCAAGTCGCGGATTGGCTTAGCAGCATGCGTACGATATGCATACGCTTGCATATCGCGCGATACAGCTGTTTGGCTAAATTTAGCAAAACAACATCACTCTGCGTAGACGTCTTTTTCGTCGATTTTGACCAAAATGATATGAATATACCAGCGTTTTGGAGGGGCTGTAACTTTTGATAGAAACATCGGTGAGACTTGAAATTTGAAATGTATTATTCTGATAACATCTTTTATTCAAATATCAAACAAAAATGGTGAAAAACGATCCCAAATTGAAAATTGAAAAATCGTTCAGACACCCTATACATAGCCATATGTAGAAGGCTATTGGGAAACAACTACGTGTGCTGTCGCAATGAATTTAGTATGTGTGTGAAGAGGAGCTCTTCCGTGTTCACTCCATCCCAGCAAATTTGCAAATGACGCACTTGCCGATGTGCAAGAGGTATTTATACGATACCCTTGCCATGCGGTAGCGCTCGTCCAGTATTCGGTCAACGCATTGACAATCAGTGCTTTATCGCGCAATTGTGTGAAAATAGTGCGCAAATACGCTTCGCTCCTTGGCAACGGAGATACCACGCACAAATCGCGTGACCGAATTCTAATCGGCGCGACGGAATTCTGGGCAGAAAAATGCTCCGTCTTCTTTCAGAAATATTTTTCTTATCATCATTCTTTATTTTAAAGGTAAATACCAGTATTGGAAACCTCCCAATTTCAAAAAAATGAAATGAAAGCTCTTATTATCAATCATGTGAAAGAATATGTTTTGACTAATACATGATGATAAAAATTTTGCCGGGAAACCGCCTACTAATTGATATATTTAGTAAATTAGTTTATCTATTGGTGTGTGAGAGATAAACGCACGTGTCGTGCACGTGTGCGTAGTCCCATATACATCTTTCTGTGTACAGTGCTTGTAACTTTACGAAGACTGGGCCAAATTTCTTATCATTTTGATGATTCCAGAACCTTGCAGTAAACACCAATATGCTAGATGATCAACCTTTTCTGATCGATTCCAACAACGTTTCTTTCACAATACAATCGCATGACCATAACTGGTCTTTATCTTTGAGTGACTATAAAATCATGTTAGAGGAATAATTTTCTTTTCTTTTGATGGGTAGATTGCCAAATAAAAGAGGTTAGAATTCAAAATATTAGTGATTTCCCCTTAAGTGACCGAATACCGGGCACTCTACCCTACATCAGCTGTAGATACTAGATGTCTAGACTAGAGCCGTAAGTTTGGCAAGAATCATTTGTAATAATGTTCTCAATCAGGGATATGGAGTGTTCGTTTAGAGTACACAGTCGGATATTTCACAAGAGGGAACATGGAATACAACATTAAAAGCTCTAGAAAATCATTTACAGATTGCACTTTACCCACCTTAAGAAGATAAATATTAAAATACAAGATTGTGTTTTCTTTATATACAATATCAAAAATATTTGAGAGAGAATCGTAAAACTGTTCAACTGCTTAGTCTGGTGGCCTGTAAATAATACCAATTAAAAATCTGTGACTATTTATTTTGATAAAAGTATTTTCTATATAAGAAGTATTTACATTTAAAGTCATGACGTCACTTAAACTTAAAGCAAAGTCCAGTGCCACCTCCTCTTCTATTGCAAACTCATAATTATCTTAAGATTGAGGTGATGTTTCTGTAAGCCATGTTTCCGTGATACCAATCACTGACATTTGCATATTCAAAGAGTTAAAAAAATAAGGACATTGCATTGTACATTGTAGTTACGATTTAAAATTCTGATGTTTACATGAAGCAAGGATAGTTTAGGATTGAACATTTTTGTGTTTTTTTAATCAAAAATAAATGTGCTAAATTCCTTGGGTGTAAGAAAAGATATTGATGGCTGACTGACTGACACCATCCTGATCTGCTGGTGATAAATATTCATGTAAAGTACTATCTAAATCAGTATGTTCAAGACATTTTGCAACTAGACTTTGGCAAGACATAACTACACAATACTACAAACAAACAAATATATATCTACATATACATTGTATACATGTACCTTAAAAACCTGTTAATTTTTAGATTTCAGTGTCTGTTTTCATTGTTCATTTCTTTTCCAGCTTTCTCAGATCATCAGCACTTCTAATGGGGTGCTTCTTTGATCTTCTGTTCTCGCTAGTCACAGCCACGAAGATCTGGCCGGCCATCCATTGGCCATGCCGATGGCACTATTTTATATGATAATAATAAATAGAAAAATAATTGATAATAGTAGATTCTTGTATACTGGTAGGGCATATGTCTGTCAGGCCTGACACTCCTGGCACTGCAATTGTTATCCTGGCTTTAGCAAGGCAGCTCTTTCAGCGCTCTAGCATTTTCACAGACCTAATTCCTGCCAGGTACCCATTTACCTCACCCGGGTCGAATGTGGCAAATGTTGATAAATGTCTTGTCAATGGACGTTAGTGATGTCGAGGCAATTTTTCCATTGTGCTAGCCAACGGTGTGTGCTACTTCTGAACTGGCGCCATGTAGTACCATTGCATCGCCCGGATGCATTGCTATTTCTTTTCTTTTTTGAATTTCATTCTTGTCAGGACATTTTAAACATGTCACAATGCCACAATATAGTTTTGATATATAATAAAAACATTGTTTTTCATTTTCCTTTCCACTTCGTCTTATTTGCAAATTTGCAACATCAGGAGAAAACTGAAGATGTCGCATTAGAAGATGATGATGATCTCTTTGGAGGTGAGTTATTTATGATAATTTAAGTTTATCTGTTTTTAGTCTGATGACAGATGGTCCAAGGGTGTTGAGGGATGACTTTTCAAATTTCTCACATCAATTCACTTGCTACATGTACATGTAGCAACATTAAATAAACTGTTTTAGCACCTTGTTGTTAATAAGAGATTCTGTAAACCTGCAAAAATGCTAACTTTATTAGTTTCTTAGTATGCCGATGTCCATGCCGCAATAAGTACTCCTATTTCGGGGACGCATAACAGGCAGATCCAGGATTTTCCAAAAGAGGGGGAGGGGGGAGGGGGTAAAATGTAAAAAATTGTGAGCACAAAGCCTTAAGGGGGTGTGCGGGGCCCACTTAAGGGTCCCGAAAAAATTAAGCCTTAAATTGCTCTAAGAGTCTTAAGGTTCATTTCTAGGTTATTCTGAATGAGTAAACTGAACATTTACATGTATGTGAATATTTTTTGGGGAAAGGTAAAGGGGGGAATGTGCCCCCCCCCCCCCCCCCCCTCTGCATCCACTCCTGTATGATTATCTCCCTGCGACTTTGCACTCCACGAACAACCCCCTTCCCCCCCCCCCCCCTAAGAGATTGCATGTACTTGATTCCTACCTTCCATAATTCTGTCAAGAAATAGAAAGGGGGAAAACTTCTGTACACATTGTGTCCATTTTTTTGTTCCATGAACATCTTGCATTTAATATCAGAAAAGAGGAAATGACCTTTACGATTATCAAATTGGCAATGCCTTGAGGTTCTAATCTTTTACTTTTGGATCGACTTTTTGGCAAAATCGCACCCATGTTTATTGTTTTACATATTACTAGAGCAATGTAACATTATTTGGATACTTATTTCAATTTTTGCCACTACATGTATGAAGATATACATGTAAATGTAATCAATTTATACCTCACAAATCCTCTTTCTAAAAAGGAAATGATGGAATTGAAATATGTTCTGAATACCAGTAATTACATGTATGTGGAGGGGTTTTATGAATGACCTTTACAAGAGCAAAATCTAGTGTGTCTCTTCAGCCTTCCATTTGTTTCCTCAATAGTTATTTGAAAATGGAACTGATCATAACAAATGTTGATTACTCTTTACAACTCTGCACTACTTTTTTCTGGAAAGATTTTTTTTTTTTACAGTCTGTATGCATGAGCCCTACTGTACATGAAAAAAAAAGAAGATTTTGGGATCCTTGGATGTTTCACAAAGAAAGATCAACTTTAAGTTGGACTTCACTATGGCAGGCCATTCATGCCTCTGGTTGCTCTCACTGTTGGTCTCTCAGTTTTGATTTTTAGATAATATTTTTTCCTTCAATAATGAAATATCAAAAAATGTGACCATGATTTGTACGTCCCTTGAGAGACCAATGCCGGTGAATGGTGTGAGCAAACAGTGGCATGAACGGCCTGCCATAGTCAAGTCCAACTTAAAGTTGATCTTAGTCTTTGTGAAACACTCCCCTGGACTAAGATTTTGGCTGCACGTGTGTCCCAGGCACCTGTTAATGTCAAGCCCTGCTTATTTTTCCATGTATTACTTTACGATTGTAAAAGTGTCCAAAGTGATTCTGCAAATATCGTATGACTATCATCAATTCATGTAACATGACTATCTCTTTATATTCCACTGCCTTAATGGCAGGTACTTAACTTGTCAACTAGGTGTACATATATTTTCTCCAATGAATAATGCTCTTGGCTTATTTCCTCATCAGTATAAAGTTACACTGTATGTGTAGGGTATATTATAAGGGTTGCTAATAGGTTTTACATGTAGGTTACACGTAGGTGTAGTCAGGTGCGTGTATAGTGTCTGATTCAGATTGAAGTTTGGAACTCGGTTAGTGTAGGACAACACCGCAGAGTAATTGTAGCAGGGGTATACATGACTTGTACATAAATCGTACAACCAGGTATATATTAAATTGACAGTGCACTTTGTGTTCATCTTGTGCAACTCTAGGTGGCGGCACCGAGGTTTCCCTGGATGACTCGCCTGTAGCGGAGTCCAGCGAGCCTGCCAAGTTGGACGCTGAGCCGACATCTCCACTGACCCTGGAGACGGAGAAGCCAGACCCTGCTCCTACTGTGAAGGAGCCAGAGGGAGCCGCAGTAGGAGGAGCTGGAGAGCCAGAGGAGATTAAGAAGAAGAGTGAGAAGAAGAGTGAAATGGATGAGGTAATTTGGCAATCCTACAATAGACCAGTTCGTAGACACAATCTATGCATGCACAGATAAAGGTCACTTGTACAAAATTGTAAAATCCACTGAGACTAATATCGGATACATGCTCACGAAAGTTGTGTAATCATTATTCATGCATGCAACTGTGATACATTTCATTGAACACAGGTGGAAGTGATCCTTTCAAGAGGGCAAACAAAGAATCACCTCCATTACTTTAGCTGTGATTATAATTCCAAAGGCACAAAGTGGGATTTATCTATGTTTAAAAGATCTGTGGATATGTGGGGTCTTCTGAACCATGTGCTAACTACAAACTGGTCTCTTGCTTCAGGTTTATTTCATCAGAAGTATAGGGTTAAGGTTTATTTGGATATGGTACATGGTAAACCGCTGCAAAAAAGCCGGTGAGGGTCTTTTAGTGTAACATTAATGGCAACTGTGTGCAACAAGGACATGTGCCTAGTGCTGCACTCTGTTATGAAATATAGAAATGTGCAACATCTGACACTTTACGTTGTCATACAAAAATTGCCGCAGGTTTTCTACGTCGTATCAGAATAAGCCTCTTGGGTTGGGGATATAGCAGCGTTTTTCAACCCGAGTTTCAAAAGGCATTATCAGGGTCAGAAGTGCTACAAGAGAATTTTTTTATACAAAAATGCATTTGGAATCTGTATCTGTACAATTTTCCAAGTGCCAGAGTGATGCCAAAAGCATTCAAGGAATTTCTTCCTACCAGATATCCATTTACTTCGCCTGGGCGGAGAGTGGCAACTATAGATTAATGTCTTGCCAAAGGACATTAGTGAGGGACTCAAACCATGAACCATGTGGTCCATAGTCTGGTAGCTTATCCGCTAGACCACGACACCTCTACCTCATAATCAACAATACCCAGTTTTTTTTACTCGGTAAATTTCATGAAAGCCCACTTAATTCATTCATTGACCTTTATTTGCTGGCATACATGTATGTGTACCTGCCTATAATTTGCATTTAGAGTTGGGTGATGTTGACAAAAATATAACATTCACCACTTTACTTTACAGATGGAAATGGAAGAGGAGGAAAGCGGGGACAAGTTTGACATTGAAATCACCATTACTGAGCCACAGAAGATGGGTAAGGATTAGGCTTTAGTTGTAATGTTTTTCTTTTTTAACTGTAGCCTGATTGATGAAAACTGGTCAGGTTCCAATACCCCTTTAAATGTTAATGTATGATGAACAACGGTGTAGATACTGCACCAACTTGTTTGGACCTTAAATTCTACTGTTCCCAAGAGGGATAATTTCATACCGTAGTTCATGCTCCAGTTAAATATATTTGTATTATTTAATTGAAGACTATCCGTTGTTGGATACCTGTTGGTTTGTTTCCTTAAAGATCATTTTGCCTTGAAAATTGTGAATTTCTCTGAGTGTTTACCTTCTCAAACATGTACGGCCATATTGGCAATCACAATCGCAATAGTGAATTTGCAATACCCATCCAAAAACATTACCAATTGTGACCATACATGTTTGAAGAAAAAAAAAGGGTGTATGACTAATGTTTCCTCTGATTTTTGGTTTGAAGAACGTTAATATATTCTGTGTTACTATTCTATAACTTGTCGCTGTGAAAACCTGTAGTTCGAAAAATCAAAAGTGTCGCTGAACTGTTAATACTCCCATGGAACACCCTGCCAACAATTTCCCACATCTTTTCCAGTGATGATAAAGAAAAAAAGATGAAGTTTATCTGTTGTACATCCTTCCATAAAGATATATTTTGTGTTTTGATTTGATGCAGGTGATGGCATGAGCTCATACATGGCCTACAAGGTGACAACAAAGGTAAGTCATAATTATCTTACTACAAAAAAAATACTGGTAGGCAATCTTTGTTTTATGTTTACATATTGTGTAAGCCATACGAGCCTACACCATGCTCATACATTACGCACAACGTGTACACCATTCTTTATCTTTTCTTTTCTTATTTAAAGAGAAAATAAGACAGGTATCCCATCTCAGACAGTTTTTTTTTAATTTTCCCATCTGAGTACTCAAATCAAAGATAGATACCAATTATGTGCTATTCAAAAGATGAAACAGAAACTGACTGCTACTACTTTTGACCAAGGTTAGGTGTTGTTATGCCTGAACAGCAAGGAAAAAATATGGTTTTTGATGCATTCATTCGTTCATTATTCAGGTATAATGATCGGATCTAATGAATCATTGATCAGCATATTGGGCTTTGCCCAGTATCATAACCACACTGTCAGGTATAGATACTCCCAACTGAGAGAGAATAAATACATTTATCACCTTGTTTTATCATTGCTTCCTCTCTCTTTCTGTCACTCTTTCATCCTCTATTCTTTCTGTCTTTCTTATTCCCTCTTATTTGTCCCTCTCCCTCCCCCTTCCCCTCTTTCTCTCATTCTCTATTTTGTCTCTCTATCTCTTCCCTCCCTCCCCCTCCCCTCTCTCTCTTTCTCTCTCTCTCTCTCTCTCTCTCTTTCTCTCTCTCTCTCTCTCTCTCTCTCTCTCTCTCTGTCTCTCACATCACAGACCAATGACCCATCCTTCAAGAAAAAAGAAATGGGGGTGATGAGACGATTCAGTGATTTCTTGGGTTTGCATCAGAAGCTGGTCGAGAAGCACACAACCAAGGGGCGCATTGTTCCGCCAGCTCCAGAGAAGAGTGTTGTAGGTGAGAACAATACTTGAGTCATAATAATTTTCTGTTTAAACCAGAGCCTGATTGCTGGAAAATGGTAGGTTTCTGATATCTCCATAAATGTCTACATGTGGGTCAACAATATAGAGTTTCAATTGACATTGTACATGTACATTCGTCAATCTTGACTTGTGCAGGTCAAAAAAGATGACTGGTATTAAACTCTTTACACTAGTTAAGTGAAATATCATGTCATAGTTCATTATCCAATACAATATATTTGTTTACTTTTTTAAAGATCATTTAGTGATAGATTCATGGTTTTTTTTGTTCAGACTCGAACTTTCTCTCAGTGTTTTTCTTTTCAAGTATGCATGGTCATGTGTGGTCATGTTCACGATCGTTATTGGAATATCGATCGCTAACGTAACCTTTTATTGTATCAGGGCCCTCTTATCGTTAAACCATATTGGCACCTGTTAACTAGTGCCAAATTTCTATAACAAATTTGTCACATCCAAATCAAAAGTTATGATTTCCTGTTTGTATCAATTTATGTCCCCGATATATTTTCAATCCTGTATAAAGTTGCACAACTTTCTTGCACAAGACAAAATAACCTGGAGAAAGTTTGTCCATTGGGTCGCCAGAAATTTGGGATGACAGGATATGACCAAACATAACATTACCAATAAGTTTTCATGAATGAGAACTCTGTTGTGTCTTTCTCTGCTTCAAGGGATGACCAAAGTAAAGATGGCCAAGTCCAGTGAACAAACCACGTCCATGGAGTTCATCGGTAAGCGAAGAGCAGCCCTGGAGCGATTCCTCAACCGAACAGCCGCTCATTCCATCCTCTACACAGACAACGACTTCAGAGAATTCTTGGAGAAGGAAGACGTGAGTATTCAATAATAATGATAATAATAATAATAATGATAATGTTCCGCTTTTATATAGCGCCAAATACATTGAAACAACGATTTGCCTAAGCGCTTTACAGATGTATTATTACCCCGGCCATCGGATTCAGGCTTACCAGCACACAATGCACATATTCCACTCCCTGGGGAGCATTCCAGCCAGTCGCCATTTTACAAGCGCACACTTGCTCATCCAACCACATGAACATTCGCATCCTACCAGGTACCCATTTAACACCTGGGTGGAGAGTAGCAAGTGTAGGTTAATATCTTGCTAAAAGGATATTAGTGCCGTGTCGGGATTCAAACCCTCGACGTTCGCATCTCCAGTCAAGCGCCTTAAACCACTCGGCGACGACAATCCTGACATAATGGATTTTTTTTTTAAATATTGCACACACATCCACCATGCAAGGTGCTCAAGGTGCTTTGCTAGACTACCGATGCTCACAGCAATCAAGGAATTCCTTCCTCTCTTCCTCGCTATATAAAAGCGGAATATTATTATTATATTATTGTTACCCATTTAACGCCTGGCTGGAGAGTGACAAGTGTAGATTAATGTCTTACCAAAGGCCAGTTGTGCTGCAGCGGTACTCAAAACGGGAACCATGTGAACCACAACAACTTTTTTTTAAGAACAACAAAATTACAGAATTTTTTTTTTTTTTTGGGGGGGGGGGGGTTCCATATGAACATCCAATTGTGATGACTTATGAATCATTTTCAAGCTTAACATTTACGTTTTTACACACATGTCTAAAAAAAAAAAATCATATCTTGTGACTTTTTGGTGGTTTCGTGTTTCCAGGGGCACATATACACGTAGTTATCAGTAATAAACTGTACAAGAAACTTAATTACGGTTGGTCATGTTTTGGCCACAAACTTGCTAGATATTCTGTATTTGAATGATTTTGACAGGGTTAAAAGCAAGTCTCAAAGCAATATATTAAAGGCAATTTTTCCTTTGATTGATTTTCTTTTTCTCAGCTCCCGAAAGCAACCAACACGTCGGCCCTGAGTGGCGCTGGTGTCCTGAGAGCTTTCACCAAGGTGGTGGACAGTGCCTCCAAGGTGGTCTCTAGAATGAACGAAGCAGACCAAGTAAGTTGCTTCAGAAATTGTTCATGTTTGTGTGTGCATTTCTTTGCACGGTTATAATTTATATGATTTATTAATTCCTTTTATTTATTGATTTATTAAATCCACTCGTTAAAGATTCTTGGTATTGTTAATAAATTTTTGAGAGTTAAACTTGTGACCTAAATACAAAATCTTTACCACCAAAAACTTCTGCTATTAAGATATGTTCTGCTGTTAAATAATACAGAATATGATTTTTCTGATGTAAAGGTCAATACGTGGGTCATTGACATTCTTAAGTTTTGAGAGAGAAGTTTGAATTAAGATAGTGAGAGCATATCGTTGACGATTGTAGCTGAACGGCTGAGAATTTTTGGAGGTATAGATTTTTGTATTGAGATCACAAGTGTACCTCAAACTTTTGTATAATCAATACAGGTGAGATTTCATGAAAGTAATAATTATTAAATTTCTATATTTAAGGAATGAGTGTGAACATTATAAGTATGCATGCTACGATTTACTTCCAGCCCTATTTAAAGATAAAGGTGAGTTCTGGTAATGCGATTGTATTGTGAAAGAAAAGGTGTGGAATGGATCAGAAAAAGTTGATCATGTAGCATGTAAGTATTGGTGTGCACTGCACGGTTCTGAAGTCATCAAAATCATAATAAATTTGGCCCAGTCTTGGTAAAGTAACAAGCACTGTACACAGAAAGATGTATATGGGACTACTCAAATGGTGTCGGGCTAGCTTACCTTAATTTCCCTATCTTTCTATGCTCATTACTCAGCCAGTATACATTTTCTTCCAAAATTGTTTGGCAAATGACATTTATTTGTAATCTGGAACATTCAGTGTATGTTTTGTTTGATTCTGTGAGAATTTATTTTCTTTTTTTTACCAGACCTCAAGTTTGTCTTTATTAGTTAACACCATCTCCAATGTTCCAGGTTGCATGTTTTAAAGGTCATTTCTAACTCTCCACCCCCTAATCATTTCTTCACACATGTATTATTATCTCTGATATGCTGTGCCGTCATTGTGTTTTAATGTACAGTGGTTTGAGGAGAAGCAGCATATGATAGACAGTCTGGATGCACAGCTCAAGAAACTTCATGCTAGTGTAGAGAGCATGGTCACAACCAGGAAAGGTGAGTTTTTGATAGTGGTCGTTATCTACCTGACAGCTAAGAAAGCAATAAATGCTTGTTAGTAAGCAACCAGAAGACCGACGGCTTTAGGTCCTCTCCGAAGGACCTGGTAATGAGGATTAATGCCTTACCAAAGGGCACTAGCGCATTGCCTTGGGTTTCGAACCCGGGTCACCGGATTACGAGACCATTGCTCTACCGACTGAGCTATCGCGCCTCCCAAGTTACGGTGCTGGTGTCACATGCGAGAATCTCCGGCCGTGTCAATTCTCTGGATACAAACATGGATACAATGGACACAATTTTGGAGTTGCATGAACATCTGTAAACCTCAAAATGTTAATCATTTTGTCTTTCACTGTATCCTCTTGTCTTCGTTTTTTTCTGAAATACAACAAAATGATAAGAAATAAAGTCCAAAGTGAATCTGGTAAATGAGACTACATCTGAATATGCGCAACTCGATGTGCAGCTGGAAATTACACAGGGCGGGAGATTATCGCCTGTGAGTGTGACACCATTACTAAATTCAAAATCAGGCCAGAAATATGATTATTTTACTCACTTCTTGGTTTGGCTGATATATTTGACTAACTTTAGTATTCAGCTGAATCTTTAATAATGCTAAGTACTTTACCCTAAGTTTAAGACAGCCCTCTGATGGACAAAATGCAAATAATATACCTGCACATTTAATGCAACATGTTGATTGCATATAAACTTTGATTGGCTTTGTAAAAATGCCTTTCAGTTGTTTTTTTCTGAATTTGGCAATAGTAAAGTATAATACACTGTACTTAGATATTTTCTGAAAGAGACTCCAGCTATTTCATGTAAGCTTTGCTTGCTGTATTGCAGAATTGGCCATCACCACCTCCACTTTCGCCAAGAGTTCTGCCATGTTGGGCAATTCAGAGGAGCACACTGCCCTCTCTAGAGCCATTTCCCAGCTGGCTGAAACAGAGGAGAAGATAGAGGCTCTGCACAGCAGCCAAGCCGCCACTGACTTCTACGTGCTCTCGGAGCTCCTGAAGGACTACATTGGACTCTTAGCTGCCGTTAGAGTGAGTCTCAGTTCAGTTAATCTTATACCTTGGAAATATACCTTGGAAGTTGGCATTTAAAGTTAAAAACTTATTTGCCTCTCGTTGACATTGAGATGAAGAATCCGTATTGGGACACATGTTCAGTGGTGCTGTACAGCAGTTGACAAACATGGACAAACGAAGGACTCGTCTGGGTCACATCGATCTTTTCTTGACGACCAAAATTTTCTCCAATCATGACTGTTGTAAAGGCTACTCAATACAAGGAAAGGGCGGTTCACGCATATTTATACACATTTCATTCATGCTTTTGATATGATGGTTGCCAGTGATGATGTGAATGTTTAATTGTCTTACCATAATAGCCATCTTTAATTCTACAGCACATGACAAGTGCTCTGCAGCTAATATTCCACACAAACGTAATCCCTATCTTCCATCTTGGACCAACATAATACCTATCTTCCACCTTGGACCAACATAATACCTACATGTACTCCTAAATCTGGAGCTTACCGGTATATGAAACCTGATAGCAACTCTAACCCTATAATTTTAAAAGTTTTGATGCCTTTATGAACTGGCTACTGGTCTTATTTCGATTTCCTATAACTTTAAGATAGATTTTAAAGCTCTTGCATATATACTTGATCAAAATATAGATCAGGATGTGCGTAATTGGTTTGTCAAGTTTTTGGTTATTTGATAATCCCTCCACAGAAATTTCTATAGGTGTTTAATCCTCCTGCTTATCACCTTGCACAATACATTAAACAGATAACAAATTGTTGACAACCTTTTCTCTAAAATACCATTCTTTAAGAACAGACATTATCCTCATTTTGTTATCACGTTAGGAGCATCCAATTTTAATGAGTTTGATATCATTTTAAACGTGATAATCTCTTCTTTTAGAATCAGACCTAAACTTTAAAAGAAAATCATGAATGGCAACTTTTTGTTGGTTGCGTGGTGCCTGTTCACAGTTGTCCTTTTCATACAATGTAGGAAGCGTTCCGTGAGCGAGAGAAGTGCTTCCTGACCTGGCAGAATGCCCAGACCACCCTGACCAAGAAAAGGGAGACGGAGGCTAAGCTCAAGATCAACGGCAAGCCAGAGAAACTCCAGCAGGTCCAGGATGAGATTAAAGATGTAAGTGTGTGATGTCTGGGATGATGGTAGTCAGGTCTGGGGGCGTTTCACAAAACTTGTCATCAGTGACAAATGAGTTTTTGTTATATGCATATGAAATCCTTGCTTCTGATTGGTCATCAGCAGATTTGTCACTCATTTTTGTCATTTGTCATTGAAAAAGGCTTTGTGAAACGGGTCCCTGATAGTGTGTTATGGTTTAGAACACAAGGGCAAGTCAAAGGTATTTGGTCATTTTCTGCCCCATAGGTTACCAAAAATGGATAAAAGTACACAAAAGATAGCATATAAGTTGTTTTTCCTGGATACTTGGCCCGACCCAAGCTCTAGTAGGACTGTCAGCTTAAAAGCACAATCCTAAATAATAGAAACAGATTGATGGAAGTTTGAAATAAATTGGACGAATATTGAGAAAGTTATGAGTGTTTGAAATATTATCACTAAATCTATGCGGATTGCAAATTGGGAGTTTGGTCGCTAGATAGTGCAGTATTCACGGACAGCTCTCCTGTTTCAGTCATTTTACAAAAATAAAAGTTGTACTGCACTTCATCATATATCATTCAAACTGTCACCAATCTGCTCTGATTTTCTGCTTTCTTTTCAAGTAGTTTACATCTGAGTTTGGATTTCCTGTTAAAAGAATGATTGGGTGTACTAAAAACTTGTTCAATGTCAGTTACATGTGGGATATATTACCTTAGACTCGCACAAAAATGAATTGTGTGAATGAGCCCGTTATACGATCTTTGCACACTCACGTTGAGGCTGTGTGCATCTAATGTACAAAGCCATTGGGCTGAGTGTGGTAGGTGCATGCAGCTTCACTATTAAAGAGCAGATATATCATACAACAAGAGACTAAAAACATTAATCTGTTGTATGTGCAACAAAACTCGTAAACTTGTGACTGCATTCAATCAATCTTTTGATAAAGATTTAGGAGCAAATTGTATAATTTAATGTAGTTAACAAAAACTTCCTCAAAGTACTTCATTGTAAATTACTGAAATGTGTGGAAGCTTAAAAGTGCCTACATGATGAGAGGATAATTTAGGACAATAAGATGAGTTGTTGGAAACTTAGCAGGTCAACTTATCCAAGACGAGAAGAATTATTCAGGAGGAGAAGACCAGTTGCTGGAACTTGGCAAGAAAAAGAGACCAGGAATAAAGCAAAGACCAGATTTTTATTTTTAATGAAAAAAATAAAGAAAATTAGCACTCTGAGAGAAATGAAATGGAAAGGATATTTTTTCTGAAATAGTACGTACAGCAAAGTGCAGGTACCTTTAATTCTATTAGCTTTCATTTAATTAGCAATTAGAACCTTTTTCCTCTTTCTTTTCAGTGGGAAGCTAAGGAAGTAAAAGGACAAGAAGAATTTGAAATCATCTCCAAAACTCTTCGAAGAGAAATCAGTAGATTTGAGGTAAGTAGAGGAACTTTGATCTCATGTAACGAGAAATTCAGTTTTTTTACCAATCTTTGACTGATTCTAATTTTATTCTTATTTTGTCTTTGTCATCATATTTTGAAGCTAATGTCTGAAGCGAGGAAGAATTCATAATCCTATTTTATATTTGTTCTTATTTCATTATTGTGTCAATCAGGCCGGTATCGAATCAAATTTCAGGCTCCATGACTTTGTGTGATTTTCATACCCATTTATTATTCTACATGGAAACAACATGATGTTTCTCTTAATTCCACTTTTGGTCCAATCAAGTTTGTGCTAAATAACATGTTTGGTTTGTTTCTTTTCATCTCTAGTCCAATCGAGTACGTGATTTCCGTACTGTTGTGATCAAGTACCTTGAATCTTTGATGAACCATCAGCAACAGGTTAGTCAGACATTTTGTCGGTATAAACCCTTATGTGCTGGGGGGGTGTGTCACAAAGATCCTAAGTCGAACTTAAATCTAAGTTTGACTTATAATTAAGGAGAGCCATCTGTAGTCTTTACTCTTAGAATATAATATATTCAAAAGCAAAAATTCAAGTATTTTAGACTTTTCATAAATTCCACATCAAGAACATGAAATCTCCTTGATAATAGAAAATATGAATGATTTCAATCAACATTTTATGCCTTTTAAAAAAACTTTGACAAAATATTGTCAAAGATGCTAAAGGCTTTCCATAATGTTTAAGTCCAACTTAGAGATAAGTTCAACTTAGGATCTTTCTGAAACACCCCCCCCCCCCCCCTCCCTTCCCCAAACCTAGGATTTGGAAAGTGAGAGGGTGGGGCACAATTCCCAGAAATATCTGATGAGCCAAACAAAATTGAAGGAGAAGATAAAAAGAGAAAGAGAGGGAGAGGGAGAGAAAAGATTACCACATAATTAAATGCTAATTTTATGAAACCTCACAGTACTAAAGTATTGTCATGAATAATACTGTATGATCAACCTTTCCCAAGAACTTTTAAATGCTTTTTTTCACAATGCGATCATAAGACGGGTACCCAACTTCTTTTCTAGAGTGTACCAATCTCCACAAACATTTTGCTCTGTATGATTTAAGTTTCATGTCGATATACTAAATTCAAAATATGAGCTTCAAATATTACTTCTATAAAGTAATTTTGCCAGTTTGAATACACTTTCAATAACCATTAAAGAAACTTGGGGGTAGATGATCGACTCCCCTGTACGTGCTCGCATAGAATCTGACTTGGGTTCATTCCACAAGGTTTGATGTTATCAATAATTTTCTTAACACTCCTAAGTTATAAACCCATAGAATGCCAAGTAAAATCGTTCAAGGTGATTTTATACATTCTAGCTGTACATTTTTTTCTCTGTTTCCTCCTCCTTTTTGTCACAGCTCATCCAGTATTGGGAAGCTTTCCTTCCAGAAGCCACAGCCATTGCATGATCCTTCATACCGGTCAAGGCCTTCCACCTAGATATCACCAATCAGTCGCATCGACACACGTTGATCTAGAACAGTTGTCGCAAAATTAAACCACCAGTCATGATATAAATGTATCTAAGGTATTCTTGAGTTCTGGTAAAGAAAATACATATAAATTGAGATTACAAAAATAGTTATTAAAACATTTATGATCCATTGTAGATAAGAATTCTGATATGATATAAGGTTCAGCAGAGGATTTTGAAGATGAATTTCAGTAGATATATTATCGAGATGGGCAAATCTTGCTGATTATCACACACGCACCCCCACACACACACACAAATTGCAAAAATCCTACGTGGATATGTACATATGGGGCAATGCATTTGTAAGATTGTCTAATCAGTCTTGGTGTCCTTATATCTCACCGAAGCTATTGCTATTGTTGTCATATCATTTTTTGTTAGGCAGGATCTGTTGTTTTTAACATGCAGTGTAAACTTTGATTGGTTACCGGTATGTGGGAACTTATACTTCTTTTCAGCTTTCTCAGAACTCAGGATTACTTTACACTCTTCTTTCCACATAGCAGACATTGTCAAGTCTCAATGTTGGTATCTGCACAGATAATTAGATTTATAATCCTCATTCTTTGAAGTGTACTTGACAAGTTTTTACCATTTGCATTGAATTACAAGAAATTCTTTCATATGATTTATGGATTTATGGATTTCTATAAGAATTGAGTGGAAAAACTAATTGGTTTTTGTTTTTTAACATACACACCTCTGTCAAATTTTTCGGAAATTTTCAGAGAAGAATTGATTTACTGAAAAATTGTTATACTCGATTTATGAATGTCTTTTTTTATTTATTTTTTTTATTTCATAATCTTTTTTTTATTGATAAGAGGTAAAGATGCATTTGAGTAATTAGTTAAGTAATGCTATTTTTATACCTCAATTTTGCAGATACTTTCAGCATACTCCACTTTACCTGCAATTACAAATACAAAGCCTTATATGAAAAGACAAATTTTTCTGTGAAATGTTCTTGTCCAAATAAAGAAATGGAGCCATGTGATGTGTAGTAAATATACCTGATACAGGTTTGAATGTAGAAAAAGAGTAATATGTATAATATATAAAAGAAACATCTTCAATCAAATTTATCATTCCTAATTAAGGCTTATTCTGTCATGCTGGTGATGTCTGTCCACAGAAACATTTTGTCATTTCATTTCTTGTACTTTGTCACCTGATATCTGCAATTCTGCATATTTGAGAGCAAACATGTACCGTCGGAGCACATTAAATAAATGTGACTTGTATGTATCTGATGCAAAGAAATCTGCACCTTTTTTGAAGATGGTACATGTTTTTCCCTCTTGCCCATCCAAGATATGTACTGTCGTGAAATCAGAAACTTGTGCAAACAGAAACTTTGGCAAATTGTAAAAACCAGGCATTTTTGCACAGCATGAAACCTTCATGAATCACAAAAATTCAGTGATTTGAATATTAATTTTGTGGTATGGACCTTCACGGATCTTAACCACTTGCAAAATTTCATAAACATTTCATGTTCTGTTTCTGATTATAAGCCCAATGCACACTATATGATTCTTCTGCGATTCGATTTTCAAAGTTGCATTAACTACGAGCATCTACACCAATATCATCACCCTGATTGTGGTTCTGAGTAATGATATAAATATCAACATCGAAGTCGGACCGTATAGTGTGCGATGGGCATTACTCTAACAAAATGTTACAATTATGTTGAAGCATCAATAGAGGACCTAAGTATTTTAGAAACTAACCACTTATGTAAGGGTATAGGAAACTGACTTGTGTAGTATAATATCTACTGGTAGATTCCCAATAGCACGTTTTCTAGACTCCGAGCGTGTTATTGATTGAGAAACACAATTTGTGGTCGTGGATGTCAGCTGGAGTCTTTCATCAGTCGTACATGAACTGACAACCAAGCCTCTATTAAACATGAAGTGTCAATGCAACCTTCCATCAAGCCATCAAGCCCTTTTTTCTGATATTGGATGGAGAAAATGTGAGGAAAACAAGATCGAGAGAAAAGAAAGGAACTAAAGAGAGAATGATATACAATTTTGCAGCTTGATTTTCTTCTCTTTTTTTTTTTTCTCTCTCTCTTTCTTTTTTCATCATTCCAGAGACAAATCGTCGCTGTTTTCACGAAGTGACGGTAGTGAAAAAAAATTGCATTCACTTTGCGTTACGATTTTCCTCACTACCGTCACTTCGTGAAAATAGGGACGAAATGTATAGAAAAACAATTTGCTTAGATTGATCAGGTGTTGTAGTCGTTGTTCCATTTTACATTGTTATTTGTTATTCGACTGACCGACTATATATATATCCTTTGCTATGTATTTTTATATTATTTCTCGAAATTTCAAATGATATATACATTCCTTATCATCAAAAATTAAGTGTAAATCTTGGCAAGTTTTCTTTTCAAGTTGAGTTGGTTCAGAAAATATAGAATATGAAGGAAGCTGAATGAGGTAATCATTTAGTTGTAGAATGTTTTGGCCAGTATTTATGCCACTGCTGGTCCAAGCATACTTCTTTATTGTCATCAATGTAGTTTACCAGTTTATGAAATATACTTTTGACCAGATAAAAAGTTTTTAAAAAACTCAGATGAATGTGTGCATTGGCACATAATAAACAGGAATGTAGAATATATTCTATTGAATGATTATTGTGATATATATATATTCTTTTTTTTCTCCATATATAAGATAAAATTATATGTACATGACATGTATTAGATAGTGTAGTTAGTTCCTTATGGTTCTGTTAATGTTTTTTTCATGTGTTATGCCATTAAATTTACATCATGTAATGGTTGATTGGAGATATAAAAAAGAAGAGTATTGGTTGCAAATATATTTATTTTGTATTCTGCTTGTGTTTGCTTTACAAAGATATACCCTACATATATTAAGTTTTAGTACTGCTGCAAATTTAAAGGGAAACCCATGCTTGAATTAAATTGGTTTTAATGACAATATAAAAATGAGAGAAACATGTGGATGAATTTTTTGGACTATAATCCAATGGCAAAGTATTCTAAAAACAAGAGAAGCATGGAAGTTTGAATGAAATTGGATATCATTTATATTTGTTTTTCTCCTAGGCGGCTATTCCTTCAGGGTACTTCTCAAAACATAACATGGATAGCATACTGTATTATTATTGGATATGGCCTCTAAAACGGAAAAGATCCGGCTCTGGGGTATATACACTTTTAAAAAAATACATCCTAGTCATTTTGTGTGTTTATGGCTAAGATGTCTCCTTTTTTCAAAATGTACTTCTGATTCTTTTTTGAAGTACATATAATAGTATGTTATCTGTAATATGTTATATATGAGAAGCACCCTATAAAGGGAGAAGTCGCTTAGGAGAAAAACGAAGGTAAAATATTTTAGTATAAATGACAAATCAGACGTTTGATAGTAGCTATATACTCAAATCCATGAACTCCTATTACAAACACTCATTACTTCCTAGTTTCTAATGATTTGTCCGCTCTATTTTAAAAATTGCCCCTTTTTGTTTTTCTTAATATTCAGCTTTTAGGCAATTGAACCGCACAAAGGACTCATTGCCCTATTTAAAAAGTGTCTGAACCAGAAACATCAAATCGTCACAATGGAATACATTTTGGATGGGTAATGATATAACTGATTCTTACTAGAAAATCAAATCTAAATTTATATAAAATAGAATGAGATAGAAGCTGGGAGAAGGGCGAGGAGAGCAAGAGAGAGAGAGACGGGTGGAGAATTAATGCATGGATATTGTTAACAGGAGTGTGTATTACTTTTAGGTATTGTGAAGTGTTATAGAACCTTGAAAATACTATGTTATATATTATAACAATAAGGAGTTTTGTGGTTCAAATATATAGAATGTGCAGGGGGCAGGGGAGGGGAGTTGAAATTTTGAAATTAACAATATTAATTTGGGTATCCGTACGTCACCTTCAATTTGGTTACCAAGCTAGTCCATTATATTTCAGATAATTTTAGTTTATTTTATTTACAAAGCACATACTTTCATACCACAACTAAAAGAGAGAATATATATATATATATATATATATATATATATATATATATATATATATATATACACCGATTATATGAGTAGCTAGGGATCAGTAGGCCTATATACTTTATGTTGATACAATAACCCATATGAAAGCATTTACCGGTACTCATTTAGCTTCCAGTTCTTTATAGTAAGAAATATAAATGTAGGTCTAGATCAAATTCATAGATAAGAGAGGGAATTAAAGAAGAAACAAAGATTTGCATACAAATTAATATGCCTATATGGTGAATTTTTGGACGGGAGTATATTTAGGATCAGGGAGACAGTGTGGCCTCGGCCCTCGGGAGTGCAGTGATACAAGATCTGCGAGTAAGGTAGCGCCACCTACCTCTACCAGTGCAGTGCATGAGTGATAGAGGGGTGGTTTTGTGCGCATGTGATCTGCGCAGTCAGCTTTTATTCCGGAAATCATGGCGTCTGTGTTGAACGCTGAATTAGATAACATGGATGTTCCTATCGAAGGAGTCCCTGCAGATGCATTTATGGATGATACAATTGAAGATCTAGTGGCGATACAAACTGCCGCACTTGCCGAAGTTGCTAAACAAGAACAACAAGCACAAGAAAGGGAGAGATCGAGGTGAGAAAAGAGTATTTTTCTACTCCAGTACAAAGACAAGCTAGGGCCCTACACTACACGTACATGCATTAGCCATACATGTATTGACAACATGGTATTAGGGTGTCTGATCGCGCACCCGATGTTGTGTGCTAAAATTCTTCCCATAGAGATTACACGCATCCCTATGCAGCCTACGTGCATTGCGCGACCATGCAAAAAAAGTCAATTTTTTTTTTTCAAATCGAGATTCAAACCTTTATCAGTTGTGATCCTGAAGGTGATAATCAATGAATGAGGTGTCATATGAAAGAGCAGGTGAATTCCAATATTTCCAAAGGGGCGTAGCCCCCGAAATTCTAAAAATATCTTGGTCAAAACAGCAATTTAAACATTGTGTCCTGGCTAACTCTGAGGTTTGTCACTTTTGAGATATGACGCCCCGATCGATAAGTAGTCCCAGTCCTAAGGAACAATTCTATGTGATTATATTTTCGCTAGCCCCCAGGGATCACAACTGATAACAGTTTAAAAATACCCTTCTCGCTATTTGGTGGATCAGCTAATTAGGAGGCGTGCGCTCCGCTCAGTCCAAACCATGGTTACATCGCGTAACATCTCCGCGCACGAACGAAACCCCAAATTCAATTAGAGTAAAGTACCCGGTTTTCGGCCACTTAAGACAAAATCCTATTTATTGGACTCTTTACTTCCTATTTATTATCATTTCTTGTTCAAATCATGAAGCAAATATTATTATTATTTAAACAAAAAAAGAATCCCAAAAAAAAATTACGAATTGCCATGACAATATTCATTTCAATTTTCACTGTTTTGGAGCCGGTTATCGGCCGAGCGTTTCAGTTTACGGCCGCATGTACAAAGTCAATAGGAAGCGCTCGCGCGCGCCGTGCGTTTCTGCGCTGATGTATAGCACAAGCGGGCGGAGCAGGTATCCGAAGCCGGAGCTCCCGGGTGCTCGCCTGGCCGAATACAGGCACAGCGGTGATCGGAAGTTGAAATCTGAATTAGACAGACATATCGTGTGTGCGTCGCGGTGTGCGGCTGCATTGATTTAATACATGCGATGAGATACTTTTGAGCTTGCGACCAGCACAAAATCGGGCTCTATATCTGAAAAATACTTGAAATAAAGCTCATTTTATGGTACCCATATTTCTTACATACACGCGTAAGAAACTCGATTTTTCAGATTTGGGTAGCGGGACCGCCGATTACATCGCTAAAATGTGATATTTTAGGATATATTTTTCATTGCAAATGTGGTTCTTCAGTGACACTGGCATGGTATGGTATGTGTGGGATATGTGTTATGCTATTATGCGATGTATTTTAAAGTGATTTTACCATGTATCCAACCAATTGGCCGAAAACCGGAGCTGACCGATTACCGGGTACTTTACTCTACACATTATAGTGACTGAAATTATGGTTGGCAATTCCCTCGATAAACCCGGAAGTGAATACACGTTATAGTCAATGGCAATATCGCGGAGACAACGTGCGTTGTCTCCGCGATATTGCCATTGACTATAACGTGCATTCACTTCCGGGTTTATTGTGCGACGAACGCCAACCATACTAGTCAATCGCACATGTCGCGGAGACAGCGTAGCTCAAGCTGCAAGTCGCGGATTGGCTTAGCAGCATGCGTACGATATGCATACGCTTGCATATCGCGCGATACAGCTGTTTGGCTAAATTTAGCAAAACAACATCACTCTGCGTGGACGTCTTTTTCGTCGATTTTGACCAAAATGATATGAATATACCAGCGTGTTGGAGGGGCTGTAACTTTTGATAGAAACATCGGTGAGACTTGAAATTTGAAATGTATTATTCTGATAACATTTTTTATTCAAATATCAAACAAAAATGGTGAAAAACGATCCCAAATTTAAAATTGAAAAATCGTTCAGACACCCTAATGGTATTGATAATGCACATGTGCGCGTAGGGGCCACACACATACTATAGCAGAACTTTTGTGTAATTCAGACGGGTAACACCAGTCACTCTACCACTGTAGGCTACTCTGCAGTATACATTCAAGCAATATTTTGTAAAACCTGCTGTATGATACTTTGAAATGATATGATATACGATTTTATGAATCAATGTTGATGACAAATAAGTTACGAATTGAACTTGCAAGTTTTCTTGTGAAAATTTCCTAATTTTCAGAGACTGTCACGTTATGAGCGATAAATCCTTGGGAAGACGGACGTAAGTAGACAGTGACGTGGAATCTGTTTTGGGGCATTACCAGAATGCATATTGTAAACCCGCAGAACACCAAAGAATCTCAGAGCTATGAGTACAATGGAAAGGTGGAAACAATGTTTAAATTCACTGTTTTTATCAAGATATTTTTAGAGTTCCGATTTTCGAGTTGACTCTTTTTGGGGCATATGTAGAAAAACCTGCTCTTTCATAACAAAAAACAAATACAAATGTATACACAAAAAGCATGTATACCCCCCCCCCCCCCCATAGATTAATATATAAACTTTTTCTTTGTATCTTTTGATTTTCTCTGTTTGTCATGCCGTAGGTCCCCTACAGACAAGAGGAGAAAACGGTCAAGAAGCCGAGATCGGGGAGGCAGGGGAGGAGGACGAGACAACAAAGGAGGGGACCGAAGGAGAGACAGAGGAGGAGACCGGGGGCGGGATGGGGGAAGGTATAGACCCACGTATGCAAGCATCCCAGGAGCCAAGAGGAATAAGGTCATCCGCTATGACTGCTGTGTTTTCATCAGTAACATTGAGTACAAGGTGACGTGGCAAGAACTCAAAGACATACTCAAGAGGCATGGTAAGTCCACGCAGGGAAAAAATGTTTGAAAAAATTGGGGGCTACTTTTCAAGCTTGCTTGCATGAAAAGAACACTCTTTAATTTGTTTTGCATTGAACTATGCAAATTTTGGGGGCTAATTCGCCCCGAGTCCTTGTGTATTTTTTTCCCTGAGTCCACGCTGTTGGAATCAACACATTGTCTTATCTAGCATTTAGATGTTAAAACCCTCAAAATAAGATTTGGGAATGCAAAGGTATGCAACACATGACAAGCAAGTTTCCTAAAACATATTAGTTCTTGGATATTTCTTATTTTCTTTAATTTTCTCTCTTTTAAAACTGGCATTTTACTTCTTTTTTTTTCAGTTGGAGATGTTGGCTATGTAGAATTATTTGCTAACACTGATGGAACATCAAAGGTAAGTTAACTTGCAAAAGAGTTTCTATAAAGGTCCAGATATATAGGCCCAAATTCACAAAGGAGGTTTGTCGACATATGACACGTTTTTTACAAACCTGGTTTGTAAAGAACAAAAGGAGGTTTGGCGAAACGAAAGGAGGTTTGTCGACAAACCTCCTTTGTGAATTCGGGCCATTGTGTGCAAGTTGTAAATTCATATTTTGAGTAAAAGATGCTTGAATTTCATGTAGCAAAACATGAATCATACCATGTATGTTCTTGATACATCATGTTTTATTTTCCAAATTGACTAGGATCAGTTCTGTAACAAACTGCATGGTAATAACGGTTTTGATGAATGCGGTCGTTGAACCATAGGTTCAATGTTCGACTCAGGCTTGGGTAATCTCTTGGAGAGAGAAAAACAAGTGGTAAAGCACAGAGCAGTTTTTGACAAATGTCCTGGACTCCTGGAGTATATTTTTTTACACTATTCTAATTGTAAGGCAGTATTATCATTTTATTAATTAAACTTAGGAATTATAAAGCACTCTCTCCTTTCTCTTCCTCCCTATCTATCCCTCTGCTTCTACATTGATGTCACTCTTTGTCTCATCAGGGCTGTGCGTAAGTAGCAAATTCCATTTCATTTCATTAGTGAACATTGCATTTATAATTGAAAAGCAACTGATATTGCATGCTGGTCAAATTTGGAGAGTTCCTTGGATTAAATGGGCTAAGAATTCTGAGGACACATTTTGTACACAATGCAAACCTTTCATATGATTCTGCATTTCAGTGAAATGTTTTTCACATTTTAATGTTGAGTTTACTATTTTCATTTTTGTTCTTCTTTTAGATTTCATTGGCATTTAATTATTATATGTGGCAGCTGATAATGTTGATATGAAGATACTTTGCTGGTGAATGCAACTTATTTAAAATACTGTAGTTGAACTACATGTAGGTAGATGAAAGTGAATTTTCACTTTTCATGCTGTTGCCTAGAAACACATACTGTAGAATACATTGCCCAGATTAACAAATAGATTTTATCTAAAGGTTGAATGATATATTATAAATCACAAACAAAGCGATAAGGCCTTTGCCTTAAAGATTGTGAAAGGGTTCAGTGATTTCACTTTATTTTATTTTCTCCAAAATCAGGTTTGTTGAATTCAAGAGCAAAGATGACGCCAAGAAAGCCCTCACCGAGATGGATCGCTTTGAAGTCCACAACAGAAAACTGGTCGTGAAGGAGGTTAGTATGATCTACACTTGCCTGATAGAACAAAAGGGATTTTGAATTTGTGTTTTTACAGCAGGCAAGGTTGTTGTTTTTTTTTGCTTTTAGAGATGGTACTCAAACTTTCATACAATATGCAATGTAAATATTGATCCGAGAAGAAGAACAGGAAAAATTTCAGATTCTTATATATTCATGCCCAGAAGAAGGCCTCTCCTAAACTTGACTGGGATTTTTAAATTACAACCATGATGATATTTAATTTAGGGATTTTTAGTTAATTTTGATCTTATTCTTGTCTGGAGATTGATTCATAACTTGTACTGTAAAGCCAGAAATTGTCATGTGCAGGAAGCTTTTTGCAAGGAATCTAGATTTGTGAAAGTTAAATGCCACAAATATTAGTCTTTGGTATGAGACTTCTTTATCGCTCTGTCAATCTGTATATATATATATATTTTTTTTTTTGGGGGGGGGGGGGCAGTTCACAAATGTTTCATGTCGCGAGAAAGGCCATCAGCTCCAATTCGCGACAGTCTCTGGTTTTACAATATGTGACTAGATGTGTATGTGTGAACGGAGGTTATCAGGGGCCCGTTTCACAAAGCCTTTTTTCAATGACAAATGACAAAAGTCAGTTACAAATCTAGATTTCAGTAGCTTATAACAGAAACTGTCATTTGTCACTGATGACAAGTTTTGTGAAACACCCCCCCCCCCCCCCCCCTGGATGGTGATTGTATGTGTGTGTGGTGTGTTGGTAACTCAGGCTGTCATAGAGCAACTTAGTTTATAAAATATGAACCCTTTTATTAATCTGATACAGGACTCTGAGGGTCGTCATAGTGAGAAATACTTCAGGCAGCGTGAGGCCGAGGACAAGGCGAGGAACGTGCTGACCCCTCAGCTGCTGACCCAACTGAACCTGGACCCCAACAACCTGTGTGACACTGTCTTTGTGGCTAACCTCCCCTACGACGTCTCCTGGAGGAAACTCAAGGATGTCTTCAAGATGGCTGGCCCTGTGTCGAGGGTGGAGATCATGGAGGAGAAGGGCAAGAGCAGGGGGATGGCCACGGTCCAGTTTGAGACCATCCTGGCCGCGGTCAACGCTATCTGTATGTTTGACGGTCAGACCTTGTATGACCGCCGCATGGCTGTGAGGATGGACAAGGAGAAGGTCAGAACGGGCGGAGGGGGAAAGGAACCCGCCCCTAGACCACCTCCTCTCCCAAGTACGTATGGATGGATTCATGAGATTAGGAGAGACAATTATGTCAGTGTTTATTACATTCGCAGTAGATGTAGGGGAGAGACCAGGGTATTGGGTCATTACTGTTCAATGCATTACAAAGAGAAATTTACAACAAATCAGAGGTTACATAAATGTTGTCCTTTTTCCCATTGAAAAAATATGATTTGCATGTTTCATAAACAGTTTTGGACTTTGTTTTTAGTCCTTCTACCCGTAGTTACTCTATACTGTAGTGAAATATGTAGTAAAAGGTATCCTGATAGATATTAGACCTAGTATTCAGTTCTTCGACCTTTGATAACTCTCTATTTTTTTGCACTACATGTACATGGATGTGCGATTGCTTTGCTGGTCATTATTTACAGATTGTTGAAGACCTTTATCTTTATTAATTCTCTAAACCCCTTGAAATGTTACGAACGGGTGGTCTGTGCGGTATTGGACCCAGCATCGAGTCCTTGGCTGGAGGAGGAGGAGGAGATTTGCTTTGCTGGTCATTATTCGACCGATTGTTGAAGACCTCTATCTTTATTAATTCTGTAAAAACCCTTTGAAATGTTATGAACAGGTGGTCTGAGCGGTATTGGACCCAGCATCGAGTCCTTGGCTGGAGGAGGAGGAGGAGATTTGCTTTGCTGGTCATTATTCGACCGATTGTTGAAGACCTCTATCTTGATTAATTCTGTAAAAACCCTTTGAAATGTTATGAACAGGTGGTCTGAGCGGTATTGGACCCAGCATCGAGTCCTTGGCCGGAGGTGGAGGTGGAGGAGGAGGAGTAGACTTGGGCAGAGGAGGAGGGGGAGGTGGAGACATGGGTCGAGGTGGAGACATGGGTCGAGGAGGAGACATGGGCCGTGGTGGTGGAGGAGGAGGAGGAGGAGGCAGCATCGGTCTCTCGGATCTTGGAGGGTACGGTGGAGGAAGCAGTCTTACCCAAGGACTCGGAGGGCTTGGTAGCCTAGGAGGTGGTCTGAGCGGTCTTGGACTCGGAAGCCTGAGTGGACTTGGAGGTAGGCTCCTTGAGAACTATAAAGGCTTGTTCAGATATGATGACGTAAATTGTAATTGGCTTGATATATCGGTTTCTTATAAAACAGAGCACAATACATATGAGCATGACTTTTCTTTACAAGTGCCTCTTTCATTTTTATGCCTCCGCCACCGAAGGTGGTGCCGGAGGCATCATGTTTTCGGGTTGTCCGTCCGTACGTCCGTACGTCCGTCCGTACGTCCGTCCGTCCGTCCGTACGTCCGTCCGTCCGTCCCGTTTGACCGTTATCACAATATCTCAAGAACCATTTAAGATTTAAACTTAAGACTCGGGAATAGTATTTATCACCATAGGAAGACGATCTGATTAGATTTTGGAGTACGTAGGTCAAAGGTCACAGGTCACAGAGGTCAACTTATGAAATTCCTTGTATTGAGTTTGTTAGCGCGATATCTCAAGAACCATTTGAGATTTAAACTTCAAACTTAAGGATAGTATGTATCACCATAGGAAGACGATCTGATTAGATTTTGGAGCACGTATGTCAAAGGTCAAGGGTCACAGAGGTCAACTTATGAAATTCCATACATTGAGATTGTTATCATGATATCTCAAGAACCACTGGAGATTTAAACTTCAAACTTAGTGATAGTGTGTATCACTATAGGAAAACAATCTGATTACATTTTGGGTCACGAGGTCAAAGGTCAAAGGTCACAGGGCTCATTATGTATGCAAAAACAGCTTGTGATCGCGTTATCTGAACAACCGATTGATGGATTCCTGCCAAACTTTGGTCATGTAAGTATCTTGCAGAGCTGATGAACTGATTAGATTTTGGGGTCACGAGGTCAAAGGTCAAAGGTCACAGGGCTCATTATGTATGCAAAAACAGCTTGTGATCGCGTTATCTGAAGAACCGATTGATGGATTCCTGCCAAACTTTGGTCATTTATGTATCTTGCAAAGCCAATGAACTGATTAGATTTTGGGGTCACGAGGTCAAAGGTCACAGCGCACATTGTGTATGCAAAAACAGCTCGTGATCGCCTTATCTCAAGAACCGATTGATGGATTCCTGCCAAACTTAGGTTATGTATGTTACTTGCAGAGCTGATGAACTGATTAGATTTTGGGGTCATGAGGTAAAGGTCAAGGTCATGCGGCTCATTATGTATGCAAAAATAGCTTGTGATCGTATTATCATTAGAACAGATTGATGGATTCCTGCCAAACTTAGATCATTTATGTATCTTGCAGAGCCAATGAATGGTTCATAAGATCAAAGGTCATGGGCTCATTATGTATGCAAAAATAGCTTGTGGACGCATTCTCATTAGAACTGACAGATAGATTACTATTTAACTCAGGAAATCTTGCAGAGCCAATGAACTGAGTAGATTTTAGGGTCATGAGATCAAAGATCAAAGGGTCATATATGTATATGAGAAATTGCTTGTAATCACGATATTCTGAGAACATGTTAATGGATTACAATTGAACTTGAATTTGAAAAATTTCTTCCGTTTCGGTTTGTAAAATTGCTCTATGACGGAGGCATCATTTTCGACTGCGCGCAGTCGAATTCCATCTAGTTTTTTCATGTGGCATATCTAAACAAGCCTTTACACTGTTATTTGTACTTTTTGTATGCATCCAGAGAGGTGCATGCTGAAAGACCATATCCAACGAAAATACATCTTGATATTAATGGCAAACTGAATATATACATGTATATATAGAATACAAATATAAAGGAATAAAAAGTATTTACCCTTTCATTATTGCACAAAAGAAAATTAAAACCTCATTTTCTGCACCCCTCCAAATTACAGGTATACAGGGGTCAAATTTGCCAAAGTTACAGTGACGACATAACATGTGGACCCCATCGGTTCACCTATATAGCTGAGGGGATCATTGTGAATATGCGTACTCCACTTAAGATGATGTCAACAAGTTCTTAGGTCGACAACTTCTAATTTTCAAAGCTTTGGATTTTGAGTTTTCAGAGAGCTGATACTCCTCTGGCAGACACTAAAATGGCATATAGTTGACATTATTGTAATCTATGGCTTGTAAGCATTTATAAGTTCCAGTTTGAGGCCTAGATATCATATACATGTATGTTGGAGATAATATCAAATTCTGGTCAGTGACTACATCTTTTCATTTCTGTTACAGGAGGTAGCCTAAGCCAGAATCTGAGGCAGAACCTGGGCCAGGGCTTGAGTGGTGGACTAGGAAACAGTCTGGGCTCATATGGTGGATCTGGAATGAGCAATCTTGGGTCCGCCGGTCTAGGGGGACTAGGAGTAGGACTAGGTAGTCTCGGAAACAGTGGGAGTGGATTGGGTTAGTAAACACAAATGAGAAATAGCATAAACCATTATTGCTCATGAGATTCGGCATTTGCCGCCATAACATTTTGTTGAGGAATAGGAAGAAAAGAAGGAGGAGAAAGCAACAACAAAGAAGAAAGAAGGAAATATGGTTGATATTATCAAGAGTTTACAATTGATGTGTTCATAAAACCAGTAATAAAACTCAGCATACGATTACAAATCCAATAATAAAACAGCCTCTGACCAGTGTAACATCTGTAAATAACTTTTTGATCAATTCAAAAAGCTTGTGAAAAAAACATCAAAGTAACTTTATTTATTTATTTATTGTGGTATAAAAAACATTGTACATGGCAGCCAAGTTAACCACCAAAAAAAAATTCCTGCTTGTGTGGAAAAAAAACAGCATGTTAAATCAACATTTCTGCATTGGAAGTGTGTCGCGCGTGGTTGTAAGTTTTTGTTTTTATGAATTCCTTTTTTTTGCTTGAAATTTCTTCTTTTTTTTTTTGCCATCATGATTCTTTTTTTGGTCGCACAAGGTTGGCAGCTCTGCATGCTGCTATATCATAGTCATATTGCAGACATGCCAACCGTTCCGATTTTAACGGAACTGTTCCGTTTTTGAAGTTTTTATAGCCCTAAAAAACGGAACGTTCCGATTTTGGGGAATTTGGCTTTCCATACATAGCATGCATTGATCCGATCGAGTGCTGAACGGATTACATTGCGCAAGGTGCGTGCAGCGTGCATTGATATGTACGTACAGTGGCAGCGTGTTGCTGCGCGCCACGTGCACTCTGATATGTGTTTCCGTACGTAACATTTCCGTACGTAAATACTTGCGCTGGCTAATCTCGTAAGTATAATTTCTATACGTTTGCATGCGCATATCAGCAGCATGCATGCATTCGCTATCGCGGCGCGGCTAGCGCACCGTGTAGGGTCCCCATGCAAAGTACGTGTTTCGAGGTACCGTGATTTGTCTCGGAAGAAAATCTGTCAAAATGAGCGGAACAGCAGCAAGACGAATTCAGAAGTACAAACAGGATTACAAGGAACGATTTCCCTTTATTAGAGCAAGCACAAAAGGGGAGGAATATGCATACTGCATTTATTGTCGGCATGATCTAAAAATCAGTGGTGGAGGAGCCAACGACATTACGAGGCACCTATCCAATAAAAAGCATAAAGACAATGAGCAAGCCGAAGTGAATGCGTCCAAGACATCTAAGAAATTGACATCATTCTTCGGCAAGAGGGAAGACACTTCCGTTATCAATGCAGAGGTTTGTTTTACTGATTTTTTAGTAGAGCATAATATTGCCCTAAATGCTTCTGATCATGCTGGACAATTGTTTCGCAAAATGTTTCCAGACTCTAAAATTGCAAATGAATATGCTGCTGCTCGTACAAAAACAACAAATGTGATGCATTCTCTAGCAGACAATGATGCTAAAAGACTGGCAGCTAATGTGAAAAATCATCCGTACAGCATCTGTGACGTTAAATTCTGCTGAAGTGACCCCAACAGTAGGCTTAAAGAAAGGACGACGACATCCAAGTTGAGATACGTGCATAAAATGCAGTTCATCTGTAATATCAATAAAACAAACAAGCAATCATAAGCATGTGTACAAATTCACATGAATAAACAAACATCTATTGTATCGCACAACTAGCTTGCCATAAATGACCTTAATATGCATAACTGAGTAAAGAAAACCTTCAAGAATAAACTATGTGAGTAAAGCTCACTTGTGCAAACACGAACTGTATAACTGCCTCATTTATCTTATTCTAATGAACTGTCTCAAATTCTACCTTTGTTTACAAATATAACCCTTACAAATCATACCTCTCTATCTTGTAGGTTAACGTCATACACAAATAAACCCTCGACCAGCCTTATTTCCTGCCTCTATCTTACACTCTTTACTTGGTTCCTGAACTAAATTCCTATTTGCTTCTACACCCTTGACATTCTTTATAACCAAGGAAAACAATTCATACTCTTGTTTCATGTCAATTATCATCACTCATTACACACAAATCTAGATTATCCTCAACACAAACTGATATATGCACAAATTGTGCATTCACACACGTTATCCTACGTTTGTCTATATGTGGTGCTACATGCACAGACAACATTTTAACGTACTTTTCATCTTAAATTTACAGAAAACTAGATTTATATCTTGTGCCATTTTTGGCCTCATACAAACAATTAAAGATTGATTTATACAAATAACAGCTTTATAGTACTTACAACATTGGGCTTGTCTCGATTGTCGGGGATTACTGATGGAATCACTGTCCACAAAACATTTCAAATTTCGTGACTTTTAGGCTGGCGAACTACAAACGCCCTCTTACGACCAAATGAAATTATGGTTAATCTGAACCGACGTCATGACAGAAAACTTTCTAAATCTTACATCCCGGCCCCTTAAATGCGTAGCCACAGCAAAGCATTTATCCAAATAACTTCAACTTCCATTCAAATTGTCTAACTTTTCTGTTAATAAAACACTAAACATTCAGAATTTACACTCAACTCTGCATAGCACATTCCATTAATTTCATTTACACAATGTAGTACATTACAGTAAATGCCTTTAGGGTGAATTTATAGCCTATACACAACAAACACTTGTCGTCTAAAAATGTATACCGACAGGTCAATTAAAGTAACATTGGGCAAAACGATCAGTTGCCTTAATAGAGTACACATTAACTAAATCTCAACACAATTGTTGACACTCTGTAGCAAATAACAATAACAAGGATTGTTAAAGTCCTTGACATTCCTTACACACTTTGAGTTATCTAGTGAATTACCAAAGGAAAATACGAAATATATCAGCTCAAACATTATGATTCTACATGTACCTCTATGCACTAGAGCTGCTAACTACTCAGAACTGTGTATTTCAGTACTCGATTCTTGAAACTAAACCCCCTTTTTTGTGAGTTTTCAAGCAAAATTCAGTAGCCCACCACTAAGTACAACAGGGTTACACACAAAAAATGATTTTCAAATTCAGAAAATGGTGCTTCTGTGATTAAACTTTCTCATCATTCGCAATCTTGAGTAAATTGTCAATTTACTTCCGGTATACAAAACTTTAGTTCAACTATCCCCTTCATATCAAATATCCTCTTTTGGGTCTATGCATCAAATATCAACACAATTCGGTTCTTTAAAGTTTCAACTTGAACTAGACACTACATATTTGTATGCTCATGCATTGACCAAATAACATGTTATCATGACAAATGATTCTCATTTGTAGTGGTCAAATATTCAACTCCTGCTCTTAGGAAAAAAAAAAAAAACATGTACCCTGTAAGAAATTACGTATGAATATCGTTCGAACAAAAAAATCTTTCAGCAATAGTCTCAGTTCAATACTGAAATGAATACATGTATTCTGAAGTCCATTATAGTCTTTCTTCAAGTATTGACTAATAAACATAATATGACATAGTCTATAACAAGGCTGAAATGTTTATTACTCTTCAAGAGTAGAGTCCACTGTCCTCAAATATAACATGCCCGATTTACCTCAAGGGCACAATGTTACCGCAAATAGTCTTGTATAAAGTCTGAGGACTGTTTTTATCAATTTCTTGCGCTTAAACAAGTTTGTTGCTGTAAACGAGTTCTGTCTTGCGTCGACGTCAGTCTAACTTGAATATGATGATCAGGATCTTTCGCTTGTCACGGATCAGGATAATCGCGACATAAAAAATTCACAAGAGGCGGCGCTAGGCTCTCACCTCGCACGTTTAATTCATCGTGCATCAAATATAATTATCTCACATAAGAAACTAATGCTCCAATTTAGTCGTTCTTCGCTGTGGATCCATTTAAATTGAGATCGCTCTCCACGGTTCACCAATTTACGCTCTTTGCTTCTTCCAAAACTGAAACATGATGATCAGGATCTTACGCTCGTCACGGATCAGGAAAACTGCGACACAAAAATTCACAAGAGGCGGCGCTAGGCTCTCACCTCGCACGTTTAATTCACCGTGCATCAATATAATTATCTCACATAAGAAATGAATGCTCCAATTAGTCGCTGTGGTTCACCAATACGCTATCTGCTTCTTCCAAAAGACATAGTTTCTGCACAGGCCTGACTAGGATACCGGTGCTATGTTTCAGCTTCACCGATCGGACGAGCTTGTCCTTCCCAGGATAGGTTTCGATTACTCTTCCCGTCAACCACTTGTTCCTCGGCAGATTGTCGATAATCAGCACGATGTCACCTTCCTCCAGATTTCTCGTCTCTTTCAGCCACTTCTGCCGCTGTTGTAAGGAAGGTAGGTATTCCTTCACCCACCTGCGCCAAAATAAGTCTGCCAGGTATTGAATCTGCCGCCAGCGTCGACGTCCATACAGATCATGTTTCTGGAACACATCAGGTGGTAGAGCATTTTTTGACCTCAGGAGCAGCAGATGATTTGGTGTGAGAGGCTCTGCATCCCTTGCGTCATCAGATGTTATGGTGAGTGGACGCCCATTGATAATTGCCTCTACTAGACACATATGAGTCGTTAAGCCCTCATCATTCAGAACCTGCTGCTTCATGACTGCATTCAAGACCTTTCTCGTAGTTCTGATTTGTCTTTCCCATGATCCACCCATATGGGATGCTCTCGGTGGATTGAATTTCCAATCAATTCCTTGTTGAAGGAGATTATCGTGGATCTTCTCCTGGTTCCATCGTTTCAATCCCTCCCTCAGTTCACGTTCAGCACCTATGAAATTTGTACCATTGTCGGATCTGATAATCTCTGGTTGTCCTCTGCGTGAAATAAATCTCTGAAGGGCATTCAGAAATGAATCCGTCTCCAATGAATGCAGTACCTCTATGTGTATTGCTCTTATAACCAGACAAGTGAATATACATCCATATCTCTTCACAGAGCTCCTTCCTTGTCTCACCATGTATGGGCCAAAGCAGTCAACTCCCACGTTACTGAATGGAGGTTTTT